ATTCCCAGCTGAGCAGCGTATTTATGTAAACGATGTTTGAGTGTAAACCGATAAAACTGGGTTTATTGCAGACGGTAATGTCTGCACAATGCCGCTTTTTTTTCCGTGGTTATATTTTGGATTGCACAGTTTGTCACCGATTGATCAATTTTAAAAACGGGGTGATAAATGCCACTGTGTGTTCCCCTCTCGCCCGCCTTTCTTTGGAGTAAACCTGCGGGAGCGAACGGGTTAAACCGAAGTTGGAGTTCCGCTGCGCATCTGTCAGATTTTTAAGCCAGTGACGCGTTGTAACGAGAGAGCGAGAGAAAGCGGGAGAGAGAGGGAGGAGAGAGAGACGGAATTGGTGGGGAAATCGATGAAGTGGCAGGCGAAGAGAGACGGGGGTTGAAAATCGAGAAAGGGAGAGACGGGCAGTCAGGCTGCCGGCTGACACACACACACAGCCCGGGAGACGCGGAAGGGGGACGTGCAGCCGCCGGTGTGCCCGACCTCTCGTCCGCGGTCCGGTCTGATCCAACAGCTGGTGCGCGGCGCTGGGCAAGCGGACAGACAGCCGGGAGCGACGCGCCGATAGACGGATAAGGCGACTACAGAGGAGAAAGCGTTTCTCTTTGACCGCTTTTGCACGACTCTTCACGGGATTATTACGGACTACAAGAGGACCCTTTGTGTTTCATTTTCTGTTTGTATGTATGAAATTATATCTCTATGTGGAACCTTCGTCACCATCTACTCTGAAGTGCTAAGCAATTAACACCCGGTTTTGAATATTAGCCAGACTTCTAACCCCGAGCGACTGGAGGGGAAACTTTGGATGCTTTCTTTGATTTTAAATTTTTTCCCCCATTTCTTCGACACTGCAGCACATCGCTGGAGTTCGGTTCACCTTATCTGAATGGCAAGCGCGTCACCCAGAGGTGAAAGATCGGGATGCGCCGTCTTGTGCGTGTGGATGCTCAGATCGCTCGCCGCTTATAATTTCGTTTTCTCCTAAAATGACATAACTCCCCCCCCAGGACCGAAGAGGAGACTGGGGAGGTGGGAGTGGTGAGCAGGCTGGAGACACGCGAGGACCCGTAGGGCTCACCGCGAAGCGAGGCCGCCGCCGTGCGCATACATTATTCAGATGCAAACAAGTTAACTTTTGTGCCGCTCGAAAAGACAAAACATATCTGTATCCTGAGAGGAATACAAAGAGGGAGAAAGCTCGAACGGAGCTCAAAATCGGAGGGTCCCCGAGTCAGAACCGGATTAGCCCCGGGTGTCCTCACGATTTAAGCGAGAAACCGACGGACACGCGAGTGATTATATCCGCCGTCCGACAGCCCACTAATCCGGTCCACGAGTGTGTCTTCCTTTACGGAAAAGAGGGCAGAAACAACAAACCCGTTAAGGACAGGGGATTTCACGACACAAATAAGAAAAAGAAAACCCCATGGATGGCAACATGGGGCAGCTGTCTGGCCACGGGCACCCTGGCCGGGAGCTCTGCGCCGTTTTCCCCCGGGGCCCCCTGGGGCCCCCCATGGCCCTGGGGGGCCCCGAGCCTCACCCCCCCGGCTTGGAGCACTCCATGTCGGCGCTGGGCTACGGGGGAGACTCGCCCACCGGCTCCGGCAGCACCTACACCACCCTGACCCCCCTCCAGCCCCTGCAGGACAAGTACCGGCACCCCCACCTCCACTCCCACTCCCACTCCCACTCCCACTCCCCCCCCCCGCCCCCCGCCTGCCTGCCCGCGGGCAACGTGGTGGGCAGCTTCACGCTCATGCGGGAGGAGAGGGGCCTGGGGGGCAGCTTCTACAGCCCCTACGCCAAGGACCTGCCGCTGACGCCATGCCTGGGCAGCTCGGGGCACGGGTACGGCGCCGGCGCCGGCGGGCCAGCGTTCTCGGGGGGCTACGAGGTCCATCTCGGGGGGCCGGGCGCGGGGGGCGCGGGCCTCTTCCCCAGGGAGGTGTCGCCCCCGCCCCTGGGCGGCGGGGGGGCGGCGGGGCAGCCGCTGAGCAAGATGGGCCCCCCGCCTCCTCACGGGCACCCGGCGTACGGCCACCCCTTCCCGCACCCCCACCCTTACGAGGCCGGCGAGCTGCACCCGGCCCCCCCAAACCGGGGCCTCCCCCCCCCCCCCAGCCAGGCCGGCGAGGCGGGGGAGATCAACACCAGGGAGGTGGCCCAGCGCATCATCGCCGAGCTCAAGAGGTACAGCATCCCCCAGGCCATCTTCGCCCAGCGGGTGCTGTGCCGGTCCCAGGGCACCCTCTCCGACCTCCTGCGGAACCCCAAGCCCTGGGGCAAGCTGAAGTCCGGCCGCGAGACCTTCAAGAGGATGTCCCACTGGCTGCAGGAGCCGGAATTTCAGAGGATGGCCTCCCTCCGGCTGGAAGGTACGTCTCCAGCGAAGCCGGGGCTGTGGTGGTCCAGAGCCGTCCAGTCCGGACCGCCAGCCACCAGCACCGCCGACTGAGAGCTTTAGAGTCAAAGCCCCCGCCCCCCCTTTCCTCTCAAAGCAGTGAATGGCTGAGGGTCAGAACCCGTGTCTGATGTCATGGTGGTGATGTCATAAGAGATGACATCGCCGCCCGGTAGTGATGGGCCGTCACGCCTAGGAAAGATTTTAAAATTTGGGGTTGGGTAAGAATCCATTTAGGTAATCAACACGAGCCGCTCACGAGGACAGCAACCAATTATTATTCTGATCCTTCTTAAGCACAGTACACAACTGCAGTGAAACAGGACTGCAGTTAAGCTCTTTAACACCATAAGAGCCCTGTGCTTAGACACTGCTTAAAAGTAATGAGAGGATTTCAAGATAGTGCAATTTTCCTGCTGAAGTACAGAGCCCTCAGTGCCTACTGAGTCAGGTGCAGACGGTTCCTAAAGCAATATAATTAATTAATTACACTTATATAGCGCTTTTCTGGACACTCCACTCAAAGCGCTTTACAGGTAATGGGGATCCTCTCCACAACCACCAGTGTGCATCCCCACCTGGATGATGCGCCAGTACTCTCCCCACACACCAGCTCTCAGTGGGGAGGAGAGCAGAGTGAGGAAGCCAGTTCATAGATTGATATAGGAGGGCTGCATCATCACAACAGTCAGTGTTCTGAAATGATTGTTCTGTTACTTCTTCGATCAAGCTGCCAGACACCCTGCGGCAACCTCAAAAGGTTCAGGAGGTTTCAGTAGCGACCAAGTGAGAAGACGTTGCGTGTGAAATTCCAGGCCATAGTCCTCTGCAAGCAACGGGAGATGAGGCAGTCAGTGTGTCAAGTATAAACCTTCACAGAAATAGTGCAGACAGCTCTCGTTTAGACAGGTGCGTATGAAGAATAAATGCCTAAACGCACGCGTTAGAACTTCTGAACCTCCTTTTTCTTTTTCCTCCATGTATGATGCTGTCCAATGCAATGTGCCTCTACAGTGACAGTTTGGAATATCTGTGCACATTAAAGACTCGGAAGAGATGTATAGGCGAGACCATCTGGGCTTATTTGGATGTTATCCGGATGAGAATCTGAAATCAATAACCTACTACATAAAGAAAAAAACATCCCAGGGAATCTGTTTCAGTACTATGGCTTGGTATCTTGTTAAAAAAACCAACCACACTATTCTTTGTGCCTAGTTTTTACTTGCCCACATGGGTCCTTGTTCCGAAGACTTGTGAAATAGTCCAGCACCATCTAAAGAGATTCCGATCATTTCAGCAGCCTGACCAAGACAGTGGGGAACAAAATCACAGATCCCTGAAATGACTCGAATGCAGGGATAGAACCAGCTCCTGAAATGTCCTGTTGATCCCCTAGTGATCAATAACAGAAATCAGGTGTTTTCTGCGAAACCCTCCAACAGAGTGGATATGGGGGAGACAGCAGGTCGGGGAGCTCTGGTCAACTCAGGCCCTTGATTTCGGCAGACTGATAGGTTTAATAGGTCTCCTTGAACATCAACAGCTACCGCCCATTGAAAAGTGTTAAGATGAGCCAGTTAAGATAACAATCAGCTCAGCTGGCTTGTTAAGAGCCAAGGGGCATCTGCACCACTGCTCTGCAATCGAGACGGTTTCCTTTCTGTGTTTTCATGCCACTGGAATTCGAAGGTTTTGCTTTTAATAGGGCACGCTGTCTTAAGGGCTCACCTGCTTGGCATCACGTCAGTTCATGGAGGCCTTCTAGCTGTTCCAGTGCAAGCAGCTCCTGGCTTCTGGAAATTCAACACAGAATGTTCTTCCTCTTTCACTCTGGACTTCTGTGAACACTGGCTACCTTTGTGGACACATTGACTGCAGGACTGAACGCACAATTCGGGCACAATTAGGGCAGCCCTTGAGCAGGTGCCAGTCCTTGTTTGTGCAAGTTTAGGTCCTGGCTTTGTTCACGCGCTTTAATTGGCGGGTCAAAAAAGGCAACCTTCTTAGTCCACACTGGTGCAGAGGAGCGCGTTCCTCTGGGTCAGAGGTCGCAGAGCTGCTGAATCAGGGCAACAGCCTCTCGGCAGCAATGTTGTCAATATTAATGGCCGCACAGTGTCCTTGTCGGCTGTCATTTCAACATTGAAAACGACAACCAAGCTACCTGTCAGCATCCTCTGTCATTAAAGGTAATGAGTGAATGATTCACAAACATATTTAACCGAGAGCTTCTTCTGCAGCTTTAAGTGTGATATAAACTGCGGGTGGGTCAGATTCTCACACTCAGTTTAACAGCACTTTCAGATTAAAGACAGGTTGCAACAACGCCCCTCTTAGGAGGGAAGACTACAATGCAATAAATCTAGTGGTGTTTT